TATTTCTCTTTAATTTATCATTCAGAAAAAGAGAGATCTTTCTTTCACTTCCTAAAGGAAATGAACTCACCACTAAGAGCAAAATGTTCCAGCGGTAGTAGCCAATAAGTGCAAGGTATGAAGTTTCAAATGCAACATCGATAAGACTACTCCTCCAACCTTTGAATTGCCAACTATGGCCCAATATAACATCAGCAGTCAGCGCTCCTAAGATTCCACAGTCCAGCTGTACTTCATAAGCTATCTAAACTTGGCGGCCTTTCACACAGCACGAGTAGCGAATCCCCTATCAACCATCTTCTCCACCAATTCTTCGTGCTTCCTTAGTTGCCCCGACTTCCTTAGTTGTTTTAGAACCATGTCATAAACCGACTCACTTGGTCTCAAGCACTTGTCCTCGATCATCTCTTTAAAATATTTGTAAGCATTATTCCAATGTCCCATCCCACAATACATAGAAATCAGAATCTTGAAAGTGTTCACATTAGGCTCCACTTCATTCTCATCCATTTCCTTCCAAAGCTTGATAACCATGTCAGTAGATTTCGAGTCAGCAAACATCTTCATCAATATATTGTACGTCACTGTATTAGGCATACACTTCAACTCCTTCATCTTTGCATACAATCGATGAGCAGCATTCACATCACGAGCCTTAGCAATGCACCTAAAAATAGGGTTAAATGTAGAAGCATTTGCTTCACACCCTTTCTTAACCATAACGTTAACCACCTTAAGAGCTTCATCACGATTCTCATCCTTACAATGAGCATCAATCAAGAAATTATACGTGATAACATCAGGGGAACACGATAGCCTCTTCATCTGATTATAAACCTGGAGCACCTTCTCCGTCCTCCCTGCCTTCACATGGACGCGCATAAGGTTATTAAATGTAATCGCATTAGGTTGACAACCCGAATCAATCATCTCCGAGAAAACATCGTAGGCTCGAGTAATTTGCCCGCCCCTACACAATGCATCAATCACAATACTATAAGTATACACATTAGGCTGCACCCCCGCCTCCTTCATTTCGCGAAAAACCCTCTCTGCCTCGGATATATTGCCCGCCCGACACCAACCATGAACCAAGCTAGTGTACAAAACAACATCAGTCTCAAATTTATCCTTCAAACTATCAAAAAAAGATTGTGCTTCTAACGCCCTTCTTTTCTTACACAATATCCCTATAACAATAGAAAACGCATTCCTATCGGGCTTACAATCATAATCCTCCATTCGATTAAATGTATGAACAGCTTCAGAAGCAAGCCCGGCCCGAACATAACGACGAATCAAAATCGAAAAAGTTTCAATAGGAATTTTCAGATTTTTCAGTTTCATTAAATCTATCAAATGCCAAGCAACATCAAATTGGCGTACCTTGCCGGAAAGGTCGATCATTTCGTTGTAAGGCTCAGGGTTTAGGAAATATCCACGCGCGTCACGAGCTGCAGCCCAGTTGAAGAAAGCTAGAGCCTGTGAAAATGGGATGCCGTGGCGAACCGACCCGCATTTTTCAATGACCCGGTTTACGACCCGCGGAGAAATGGGGCGGTTATCGAAGGTTGTAGAAAAGTCGAAGGAGAGAGTAGGGAACGTGACGTTAGGGTTTAAGGTGGGGGTGGGTGCAGGGTTTTTGCGGTGATGGTCTTTGATTAAAGAATGAATCTTTTCAGCTATTTCAGCTTCTTCTGTTGATAATAGCTCAGTTGGACAAGTGGGTTCGCCGTTTTCGATGGCGCCGCCGTCGACGTCGATGTCGGCGGCGGCGAGCTCTGAGGTTGAAGCAGAGGTGTAAGGTTTGAATTTGCTCTGAGAAGAGAATGGACTGAGGAAATTGCGAGAGATATTCAAACGTAACATGGATTTTGTGACCGCCATAGCTTCCACTTTGCTGATGGATTCAGCTGTGCACAATGATTTGGTGCTTACTGTTATTAACCTCTTTTTATGGGTCTTTTTTTTTCTCTCTTTTTTTCTTGTTGTTGCTTTTTGTAACCCTAAGTTTATTTTAAATTAATCAAATGCAATATCGTGTACGATTTAATATTATATATACCTTTTCTTAATTAGCCTCATTTTTATGTGAAATTATAGCTACTACGAGTGTTTATGGTTCGATTTTTCCCTAAAAAAAAAATCAAATCAAGTAAGTTGATTTTTCAAATATTAGAACCAAATTAAATTAATTAAGTCAATTTTTTATCGATTCGATTTATGTCGGTTTTTCGGTTTTTTATTAATTTTTTCTTAAATATAGAGACATACACTACCAAACACATATTTCAGCGACTACATTTTCAATGTAAACTATCAAATCAATTGTCCTTTGAGAAATCTATCATTTAAAAGATATATTGATGATAATTGAATNTAAAACCAAACCAAACCAAAAAGTATCATTTTTTTTTTGTCGGTTTGGTTTGTTTTTCGATTTGGTTCGATTTTTTGGATTTTTATGAAGCCCTAATCACTGGTAAGGAAGTCAAATGAGATATTTCTTTGATCGCTATATGTTCAAATATATTTCTAATATTTTGATTATTAATTATTGTAGCTTATAATTGGTATTCATATCGACAAAAATTGTAGTAGAGTGGTAAGTATTTCTTCATCTTTAACCAGATGTCTTAGGTTCGAGCCTATATGGAGCGCTTCACCCCAAATGTGAGACTTAACGGCGCCAATCCAGAGTCGGGCCCCAATGAGAATATGAGACACCCGTTGAAAGACAAAATAAATAAATAATTGATATTCATATTTTATAATATTCAAATATATAAAGTTTATGTAAAAAAAACTTGAAGTATTTGTGTTCAAACTCAATAGAAGAAGTAGATATTTGACTTTCGTACTTTGCACTAACTGCTGTTTTTTAAAAAAAAAATTGATTCCGAGTTCTATTCAATTAAGGAAAGTTCCAATTTCGATAACGAGAAAATATGAAAGGATTAAGGATACAAGAAATTTGAGAGGTGGGAATTTTATCTATCTTCAAAATATATCAAAAAGTGAATAGGAAAAGAACCCACTCTAAGGAGTTTGAAAGTTTCTTGAAAAGTGGATTGAGGTGCTTTTCCAAAAGAAAAATGAAAATTTTCACAAAGCCCTTTTAAGTTTTGTGAAAAATTTATTTAAAAAAACTTCCCAATAATTGTCAAACTAGGAAATATTTTGACTGTACGTACAATGCCTTTCAAAGTTTATCTTAAGCCTACTAAAGTTGGAATACTTCAAGATCGTCCCAATCCATGTAGATGATTAAGTAGGCTTTGGGGGCATATCCAATTATGAGATCACTTAGGTTTGCTAGTTATTGTTTATAAAATATGCATTTGAGTTTTAATCCTCTTAAATTTACATTGCATTAATTGTTTGATAAAGAAATTTTGATTATCTTTTACGAAGAAAGATGTCTAACAATGAACCATTGAAGCTAACATCATTGAAGGATTTGCAGCCACCTAATTTATCACGATCTAAATTGTTAACACAGCGTTATGTGAAGATCAAAGAACCAAGGTTTAGTAATGGCGTTAGAGTATATTGGGAGTTGCAAAAACCTAAACATGAAGAAGAAGAAGACAATGACTCAATGGATAAGGTTCCATGCGAAGGGTTCTTCGAGTTTATTAATGAAAACATCGTTCAATGTCTGAAACGTTGGGTCGATGGTATTTTTGGTCCCGTCCTTGGTTTGTCCAAACATGATGATTCTTATTGTTATGAATTTGTTGATGGATCGCATTGAATTACATGTAAATATTTTAAAGCTCTAATGAAATCTCTTATGTAAATATTTAGTGAAGAGATTGATTTGTCCAATTATTTTGACTTCTCAAAGTTTTTGTGGTTGGTGGTAGGGGTGTACAAATCGAACCGAAAAGTCAAACCAAATCGATTAAAAAATCTGATTAGGTTTGGTTTGGTATTGAATAAAAAAATCCGAACCAAACCGACATATAAATATATAATTTTTTTTATATACTCTTAAAATTTTATATTGAATTTTCTTTAAAAAGTATCTAGGAATATTTGGGATTCTCTTTGCGGGATATAATATTTAATAATATATGAAGTGTTCCATATTTATTAACCTTAAATAATGGGTTGTATGATCAATTTCTCATCAAGTGTTACTTAAATGCGTCAATCTCTTTGTTCTTCCATATTCATATCATATGTTAAGATCTATTAAATTCTTATATCTTTTTCGAATGTGAAGTGATTGTTATTATCTAGGTATCATATTGATTTTTATGTTTAATTACTAAATTTGGTTAACCTTGAAAGTGTACATCAACAAAACATTATCGTCACACGACTAAAAAAATAACTATTATGTGTTACTAAGAAAATTCTCCCATAAGAATATTTTAATAGATGATATGTTTGTCAATTTTTTATATTTTTACTAAACATATATTTACTTATCAAAAATTTAACAAAGTAAGATAATAATATTTAAGTAACAAAAAATCCGAAAAAACCAACAAAATCGAACCAATCCAAACCGATATAATTGGTTTAGTTTAGTTTTGATAATAACTGAACTAACTCGGTTCATGTACACCCCTAGTTGGTGGGGTTGGATTTGGTAATATTATCAAGCCGGGTTTAGAATTTTCTTACAAAATATTTTGCACTTAGCGAATTTAGGAAATTAGAAAGATGATAAGTCAATGGGAATTAAACTAACATCTAACTTACTATTTCAATTTTCAACCATACATGAAAATACTTATGCCTTAATAATTAAGGTGTTGGTAAGGTCTTCTTTCAAAAAATACTTATTCACACCTTATGTTAAATTAAATCAAACCATTTAACTATAGTAATCACAAATTAAAGCAATAGTATAGTATAATCTATAATTAAATAATGAAAAGCTATACGAAAGTCGAAACACACATTTCAAATTTAATGGACACGTGGCGCTAATAAAAACCCACTCTTTTACCCGACCCATCAATGGCTTCCCCTTCTGATCTTTAATTTTTTGTTTTTCTTAATCTCAAATCTCAGTCTTGAAAAAGAAAAAAAAACAATAAGCTCACTCTCAAAATCCCGAGCACCTTCTGTTTGACAAAAGGATTCCTCCATTTCAACCACCAGATTCTCTATACCTCAAACGGAGGAGATTGAGAGATTGAGGTTTCCGTTCAATTTTCCGGTCGCAGTTCAGAGCTCCGGTGTCAAGTAGAAACCCCCTTATTCAATACTGTAGCAGGTTCCTATTAAAGGTAGATCTCAATTCTTACTTGTTCTTATTTCGATGCTGGGTTAAATTTTAAGCCACGTGTCCAACACGAGGCGCTCATTTGAACTAATTAGAATTAGTTTCTAATGAATTACATCCTTGTCAATAAGGGCAAGGGCAAATATTAAATTTGCTAACTTTGAGTTGATTTAATCTTGGAACCTAATTGTTCATAATATGATTAAGTAGCCAGTAGGCTGTAGATTTTGTTGCTCATTTTTCTGTTTTGGATATAACACGAAACTAGTGTTGGCAATTTATGAAATGTCGAGTTTTATTTGTATAATTGTATACCTTGTTATGCTAATACATTGTTCAGTTCAACACAGATGTCGAACACATTTTTTTGTTATTCACTTATTTCTGTTCAGCTATACGCCAAACTGGATTATACCAATTCAACTGTTTGAAAAGATGCCAGGGAATAATAAATTGCTTTATTATGCGTTACTCTATTGTAATTTTCTTTTTCTTTTAAAGTTTGACTAAAGTTTTATTTTTGTTTTTTTGCCACCAATTTTCTCTGTTCTGTGGTGTTTGGTGTTATAATTGCTCCGAAACCTACATTTAGCTCTTTTGAATCTTGAACTTTGAACAAACTGAATGGAACAGGCAAAATGGATCTCATTTCACAGATTCTTCTGTAATTTTTCCATTCTCCCAGCTGGAGCTCTTTCCCTACATGGCCAAATGAAAAAAGAGAAATGATTTCTCTTGGTTTCGCTCTATCTTTAATCCTATTTCTTATGTTTCACTGAAAGGGTTAATTTCCTTTTTATTTTATGATTCTATGATTGGAGTTGATTTTATAAGATTCATGCCAACATATGATTGTGGTTACAGCTACTTAAGGTCATAGGTCTTGAGAGTCCATTGGAGCTTTTCCATCACGTATTACCTCGCATAGCACGAGAGATGCACCATATGATTGTCCGTTTGCACCGGGCTGCCCTTTAGTAACGTAGCAAAAAAGAAAAAATGCTAATTATGCAGCTTGTCTCAGCAATACATCTGACATATGTGGTTCTGTCTTTAATTCTCTTGTAGTTGTTGTGTTTCATAGCTTTTCTTAAGAAAAACAAGATTGTTCCAACTGTACGGACGTCGGTCACGTTCTTAAGAAAAGTGAGATTTACCTAGATGATTTCTTTCACTTCACTTTATTCTATTGGCTTTTTATCTTGCGAAATATATGCCATTTTGATAAAATATACATGCTCTAAAGTCTTGCTCATCTGGCCCTACCAGCCAAGTCACCGAGGTGAAAGATGGCTGCTAATGTCCAAAAATTCCAAACACTAGCAATCTCTATGAATCACTGTTTTGAGTCAAGATGGCTCTTGCATCATTATCGCCTCTTGCACCATGGTCCAGATACTGTGGAGGAACTATTGGATAGACACGTTGTAAAAAAGGAGAAGAGCCTTGATGATGACGAGAATGAGCTCCTAACTAGACAGCGACTCACTAGTTCTCGCCGCGAGGCTCTAAGTCTGTACCGAGACATCCTCCGCGGCACCCGCTTCTTCATGTGGCCCAACTCTCAAGGCATTCTTTGGCGGGATGTTCTCAGAGAAAATGCTCGAAAGGAGTTTGAAGCGGCCCGATTCGAAAGAGATCCAGAAGTCATCACCAGATTGCTTATTGGAGGTCATGATGCTGTGCAAGCTGCTTTGGATAAGCTTGTCGAGAAACAAAAGCAAGAAATTGAAAAGCAACGTGGCAATTCAAATACTCCTTGATATTCTGGTTAGTGGGATTCCTTTTTTCCCCTATAAAACTCTCATCAAATAGCATATCTTTTTAACATATTATCTACATTACCACATAGTGGACGACTATGTTACTCGGACTCTTCAAAAATATTGTTGGGTGCTTGTCGGATCCTCCAAATTTAGTGTATTTTTGGAGGATCCGACACGGGTACGGGATCACTTTTGGAGAGTCCGAGTAACATAGGTGGACGACATTAGCTTCACTTTCCTTTGTGTTGAATATTGTAACATTGAATTGAAAAGCAACGTGGCAATTCAAATACTCCTTGATACTGTAGTTAGTATGATTTTGTTTTCTATCACCCTCATCAAATTGCAAATTTTTCAACATATTATCTACATTACCACAGTGTGGACGCTATTAGCTTCACTTTCCTTTTAGTGTTGAGTATTATTACATTGGTTTTTGAGGTAAGTTTGTTATTATAACAGATTGGGTGATTGTGGGACCTGCAGGGGAAGTCAAGTTGGATTGTAGATTGGTTGACTCTTGGGTTCATGCTCACAATCCTTAAACACAAATCGAAATTTTGTTGATTAGGACTCCAATCATTAAAATAAAGTTGATATTGCAGGAAGTTACAATTAGTAGAACTTCACTACATTGGTCTATAAATGCATAACCAAAAACACTAATAAATTTGCGCCCTTTTGAAAGATTGATGGGTGATTACAAAAATCATTCAGCAAAAGTAGAAACAGAAAATAAAAGGAAGGACAGATGGGCTTTGAAGTAGAGAGATGGTGACAGTATTTTGCTCCAGTATGATGGATTTGTCTGAGTGATGGCAATTTGCAGCTGTCCTTGATGGTTGGGATTGGCTGTATGATCATATCATATTTTAAATCATAAATTTGGAAGTTGGGATCTGTTGTCATTATCGTTAGAAATGTTCTACTGATGAAAGTATGTCTTCTTTGCAATCAAGCTTAATAGCAATATGCATTAGTACATTTAGCAGGCTAAAATGTCAATTAGGGTGATAGTCGTCGAAAAACAAAAGCTTTATTTTTCGAGTAAATCACTTCCTTCCTTTAGATTTAAACATAGCCCATGAGATGGAGAACTAGAATGGAATGTCAAGCATGGGCGTCAAGATTATATTGAGGTGCTGACTAATGCTTTCATCCAAATTTCAATTATGTGATCTGTTTGCATTTCGTTTTTCTCGTTTTAATAATCTAAGTAGTATGATTGCACTTCTGAACTTTGTTGCTAATCGCAGTTTCAAATCTTTCTCTTCCTGGGATACCTGAACTTCGTATTGCTGCTTTATCATTCTCCTGAAGAAAGATACTTGTCCTTGTTATATGGCTTGTGCAGTAAATGAATTTTTCATTGTCAAACATTCAAGGTCCCCCCCTTCCATATGAATTGGTCCAAATAAGTAAAAAATTGGTTATTGCTGACAAATGAAAATTTAGCCCCTTGATAAATGTGGGGCGGGCACTGCAAAATTGTTACTGTTTATAGCTTTTTTTGGCGTTAGTTTAACAATCAATATGTAGTGGTTGGCTGAGTTACTTCACAATCCTGGACTCCTGGTGTATTCAAGTTAACTGTCGGATATAATGCTTTCTCCCATTCGGCTTCTTTTCTCCTTTGTTGAATGACATCTGACTGTGCTAATTGCAGGTGTTAGGCAATGTATGTACATTGTACAGTGATAGTTCAACAACATTAGCAAGTAAAAGCTGGAGGGAGATTATGCAATACAATGTAATCTTATTAAGTTTGATTACTCTTTTCGCCTTCAATGTACTTGTACTTTCCTTGAATGAGAAACTCTTGAAGAATTTTGTAACTTGGTTGGATGGAGGGATTTGACCTTTTATGTTTAATATTCATAAGCTTAGAGTCTCACAGTTTTTACAATCCTAACAATAATTACTACCCCTTAATCAAACATCTACTTTGGTAAATGGAATGTTCATCTATTTCATTGACAAAGACTATAAGAGCCAGTCTCGTTTTGTAAGAAGGAAAATAAAACCGACAGAATATATATANAAATTGAGCACATTTGTCTTTCGTTAATACTTTAGCTCAAATATGCTCTTACCGTCACATAGTTGGTATGCCTTTAGAGTTACACAGTTGGCCCATATATGCTTTTTTCGAAACGGAATCCATCCAAACTAATTAGCTCTTTCGTTAATTGTATTACAAACACTATTTCCTTTTTATTAATACTTTTTTTCTTTACCTTTCTCTTTTCTTTCATCTTTTTTCTTTTCTTCTCTTTTTTTTTTCCTTTTTCTTTCTCCCTTATCCGATTTCCTCCATTATTGATGTCTTCTCCATTTTCATCACCAATTTCACTTGACAAAACTCATAAATTTCAATTACTAAGAAAATTCTCCCATAAGAATATTTTTATAGATCATATGTTTTTTAATTTTTTAATTTTTACTGAACATATATTTAGTTCTAAAACATTTAACAAAGTAAGTTTGAAATAATATTTATGTAACAAAAAATCCGAAAATCCAACAAAATCGAACAATCCAAACCGATATAATTGGTTTGGTTTGATAAAAAATCGAATCAACCCGTTCCATGAACACCCCTAATTTACATATATAGTTAATAGAAAATGTCTGAAAAAAGACTAACAACTCAAATTTATAACACTACAACTTGAACTCTAGACTTTTAATCATTAAATTATCTTTCTGGAAATAATTTAAATATTTTGGTCTTTTGAGTATTGTTAAAGGTTGAGATGTTTTTATTATTTTAAATTTTAAACCATAATTTTTGAAATAATTTCATTTTATTTATTTAGAGGGCCAGTGAAATTAAAACTTGATTACTTTATGGGAGAATTATCTTAGTAATTGGAATTTATGAGTTTTTTCAAGTGAAATTGGTGATGAAAATGGAGAAGATATCAGTAATGGAGGAAATCGGATAAGAGAGAAAGAAAAAGAAAAAAAAAGAGAAGAAAAGAAAAGAGAAAGGTAAAGAAAAAAAAGTAATAATAAAAATGAAATAGTATTTGTAATACACTTTAATACAATTAAAGAAAGAGTTAATTAGTTTGAGTGAATTCCGTTTCGAAAAGACTTATATGGGCCAACTGTGTAATTCGGCATATATGGACCAACTATGCGACGGTAAGAACATAATTGAGCTAAAATATTAACGAAGGACAAATATGTTAAATTTCGTATAACATAAGCATATATTTGGACCATTGACCAAGAAAGAATAAAGCAAACAAAAAGAAAAGAGAACTAGATTCAGCGTGCTCCATTTCGAAAACCTGGGGCTATTCCTCCCTCCCTTTGAAGTTTGAAGTCGAAATACCAACACCGCCCAATCTTAGAAAAACAACAATAAGGACTAATATGTCATTTCAAGTATACCGTTATTTTTAGTTTTTCTCCACTTCCCACCCACCTTCCTCCAGCATAATCTAAAATTAGTATAAATACAAATACCTCTTTCAATTCACCGTTTAATAAGACTTTTACGTTTCCGTCCGACGAAGTATTACCGGAAAATCAGCTTCGATTGTAGCAAAATATTTCAATTTTGTTAAGCAGTGCTAAATTAACTAATCAATCTAGGGTTTTTGAAACGGTATCGGTGAAGCAATGGCAAAGGGGAGGCTAAATCGGCATCAAGGAAAGAGATCATCAACGGTAGTTTTAGTACTTTCGATGCTCTTAATGCTTACAGTTGTGCTTCTAATGCTTCTCGCTCTCGGCATTTTCAATCTTCCGGTTGGTTCCGATGATGAGCCGTCCTCTGCTCACGATCACATCAAGTTCAAGCGCCTCTCTTTAGATATGTACGTATCTTTTAACTGTTGCTGCCGATCAATTTTGATTTAGCCATGAAAAAAAACAGAAGTATAAAGACAACATAAGGATTTAAATTATATGCACCGTAAAGTTTTTTTTTTTGCATGTCAATGAATTTTAACTTGTGACAGTGGATTAGTTACCATTTTTATCATATTACTAATTAATATTTATCTAGATATTTACTTATAATTACCTAATAATTTACCTGATTATATAAATATTTTTAACACTGTCATTGCATAGAAATTAAACTCAAATAAGAATTTAAGTATGTGAAGGAAATTTAACATGTGATAGTGGGTTAGTTACCATTTTTACCACATTACCAATTAATGCTTATCAAGAGATTTACTTGTAATAACACCTAGTAAGTTACCTGATTGTGTAAATGTTTTTAATACCGTTAGTGCATAGAACTTAAACTCATGAAATATATGATGAACAAAATGGAGTATGTTTTTACTGTTGGAGTGTATTTCTGAAAAGAGATTTATTTTGCAGAGGGGAAGGCGATGGACTGGGGGAAAGAGGGGATCAATGGACGGAGATTCTATCTTGGGAGCCCCGTGCTTTTGTTTACCACAATTTCTTGGTGAGGCTCTCAGTTTTAGCATTTTTTTAATTGACCATAATCTTAGCTAGTTTTGGCTAGATTTTGTTCATTTAATTTATTCTTGTCTACTGAATCATTAGCTACGAGCAGAACACAGTGGATGCAAAGATCAATATAGGTGAGGCTAAGGCTTAGTTTTGTTGTTACATTACATTAGTTCTGGTGTTTGACCGGAGACTTGTATGCTCATGTAAGGTGAGAGTAAAAAGCCTCTAGTTTTCTAGAACCACTAATTTGCATTAAAGGTAAGTTATTTTGTTTTAGAATATAAATAAAGCACTATGGTTCCAGAGTATTCATATAATCGACCCAACTAATTGGAGGCTGTGAGGAAGTTGATTACTTGATTTTTATCAGTCTTCTACATATGCCTCTTTTCCTCTATATGTTTCCTATTTTCCTCAAAACAACCGGGGGGG